ATCAGGAGAGCAAGGAGTGGGGCCCCCAGCCTGGCACTGCCAAGAAATGAGTCCCCAAGGTCCCCTCCCACACACACACACACACGTTCAAGGGGCCTCAAAGTGGTCGCTCGTTTGCTTACATGAGAAAATAGAAGAGAATAGGTCTCCCTGTTCCCCAGAGGGCAGCATCAGGCTGGTGGGCAGAGCAGAGGGGGCTGGAAGTGAGGACTCCTGGCAGGGTTGAAATAGCAAGGGGCTGTGGGTCAGGATTGGGGGCAGGGCTGGAGCAGTGGGGAGGCTGAGTTGGGTGGAAGAGTGCAAGCAGGGCTGGGACAGTGGGGGTGTCAGGACGGAGGGGCACAGGCAGGCGTTGGCAGTGGAGGGGTTGGGAAGGAGGGGCACAGGCAGGCTGGGAAGCAGGGGGGATGGGACAGGACAAAGGGGGGAAAGCAGGCCACAGCGGCAGAGGGATGAGACAGAAGGGCATAGGCAGGCTCAGGGGCAGGGGGGCACAGGGAGTGGCACAGGTAGCCCTAGGTGGCAGGGGGATGGAACAGGATGGAACGGGGGCACGGGCAGGCCTGGGCGGTGGGGGGATGGAACCGGGGCACAAGCCGGCCTGGGCGGTGGGGGGATGGAACCGGGGCACAAGCCGGCCTGGGCGGTGGGGGGATGGAACCGGGGCACAAGCCGGCCTGGGCGGTGGGGGGATGGAACCGGGGCACAAGCCGGCCTGGGCGGTGGGGGGATGGAACCGGGGCACAAGCCGGCCTGGGCGGTGGGGGGATGGAACCGGGGCACAAGCCGGCCTGGGCGGTGGGGGGATGGAACCGGGGCACAAGCCGGCCTGGGCGGTGGGGGGATGGAACCGGGGCACAAGCCGGCCTGGGCGGTGGGGGGATGGAACCGGGGCACAAGCCGGCCTGGGCGGTGGGGGGATGGGACGGGCAGAGCCTTGGAGCGTAGCTGCTCTTGGCCCTGGGAGTGTGTGGGAGGAGGTGGCTGCGCCGTGCTGCATGGCTCCCTGCATGGCTGTGCACCCGTAACTGCCCCAGCAAAGGGAGCCAGCTGGGCAGCACAGGCTGTGCTGAGCGGCTGGACCTTATGGGCTGCGCAGGGCGCAGGTGGGAGGGTTGGGACTTGCCCAGGGTTTACGTTGTGTTTGCCTCTGTCCTCACTTCTGTGCCATTTCCTCACTAGCCATCAGAGCTGGGGTCAGGGCCTGGCGCAGTTTGTGCTCCAGGTTGGACTGCGTCCTTGGGGATCCTCCCACGAGGAGCTGGGCAGCAGGGCTCCAGCAGGAGAGGGCTGATGCAGGGGTTAGGTGGCTGCTCTGGCCCTGCAGGGGCACCCGTCCCTTGGCCCTGAGTGCCAGGCGCTGGGCTGTGATGTCCTCATGAGAGTGGGCGTGAGGCTGCGTGGGCTGGGGGCCCCCAAGGGAAGCCAGGGCTGGCGGGTGGGGCAGCGGTTAATCGCAGAGCAGCAGTGGTGCCCCTAGTGGGGGGTGCAGGGCTGGGCTGGGGCTGCCTTATCTGAGCTGGGGCTTGATGTAGGTCAGGGCTCCGGGGTGCAGCTTCCTGCATTTTGGGGGGAGTTGGATGGCAGATGGGGGGTCCCTGGAGCCTGCCCTTTCCTCTGCTACTGGGCGGTTGTGCCCTTGGCCCAGGGGCTGTGCAGCAGAGGGGCTCAGGACAGGGATCAGCAGCAGCATGTGACGGGCACCCCGAGAGGCCATGGAGAAGAGCCTCTATTAGCGCTCCTCCAAGCAGATCTGGGGAGACAGAGGATGGGGGGTTGGAGGTGTCTGGCTCTGAGCCACTTCTGCTCGTCATAGTAAGGGGGGGTGCCAAGCCTGCTCCTGCCCCCACCCCCAGATTGCTTCTGAATGGACCCTGGCTCTGGGGGTGAGCGGCTCTAATGGGTTATCGTGGCTGGTGGCAGGACTCCTCCTGGGCTCAGGTCCAGAACTCACTGGGCAGGGCTGTGGGAAGATCCCTGGTCCATCCAACTGGCCCGATCCCTGCAGTGCAGGGGTGAGCGCTGCCTGGTGGTTTCCTGGTCTCATGCCAGGTGGCAGCTGGGTGATGCCCCTTCTGCCCTGCAGCGCACTCACCCCCAGCATGGCCCTAGCTCCTTTCCTCCCTGGGGGGAGAGGAGGCAGTGGGCATGCGGCGTTCTCCCTGGTGTGGCTCACAGCAGCCGAGTGCCTCCTGCTCCGGCCTCTCTTGCCTTGGGAGCTCCTGTGTGCCCTGGTGTGGGGCCCCCTCCCTGTGCAGCAGGACCCCCGCAAGCCCTTCTCCACGGAACCCTTCCCAGCATGCACTGCTCCTCCTTGCCAAGCGCGAGGCTGCTGGAACAGGGCCTGCAGGGAGCTGTTGTGTGCCAGTGCTCCGGCTGACACTGCTCCCTTGCAATTGAGGGATGCCCCCAGGATGGGGCCATCAGCGTTCTCACTCCCCAGACTCCTCCAAACTAAACTCTCCCGCTCTGTTTTTTGAGGAACCCGCATGAGCCAGAGAGCAAAGACCGAGTGGAGACCCTCAGGTGAGAACAGAGCCGCCTCCCTGCTCCCTAGGGCCCCCCAGCCATGGGATCAGGGGGGTGCAGCTCAGCTTTACTTTGCCTGTCTGGCTCTCAGTGGGGGGACCCTGGCTTGGGGCTCCCTCTTTTCTAGGGTCCCGGCTGGCTGGGGGCTCCCTTGGGACCCTTGGCTGGAGTGCACCCTCTCTCAGCCCTTACTCCGTCTATCTGTCTGTAACGCTGCCTCTGTCTCCTCCAGCTGACAGGTTGGGTGCTGGGCAGCCCGGGGGTGGGGCACCCCCGCTGCACTGATGCTGTCTCCCCCTTGCAGGCCTCATATGGTGGGTGGGGACAAGGAGCGGGACGAGAACCGGGAGGCCAAGCCTCGCTCGCTGCGCTTCACCTGGAGCATGAAGACGACGAGCTCCATGGAGCCCAACGAGATGATGAAGGAGATCCGCAAGGTGCTGGACGCCAACAGCTGCCAGTGCGAGCTGCAGGAGAAGTACATGCTGCTGTGCATGCACGGGGCGCCCGGGCACGACTCCTTCGTGCAGTGGGAGATGGAGGTGTGCAAGCTGCCGCGGCTGTCGCTCAACGGCGTGCGCTTCAAACGGATAACGGGCACCTCCATGGCCTTCAAGAACATTGCCTCCAAGGTGGCCAACGAGCTCAAGCTTTAACGAGCCCCTGCTGCGCTGCGCCCCTGAGCCCTGGGCCGGGACACGGGGACCCTGAGCAGCAGGGTCTCTCCACAGCGGTGTGCCGGGGGCAGAGCCGGAGACCCTCCCCTCAGGCCGCGTGCTGGGGAAGGGCACTGGAGAGGCTCCTTGCCCACCTTGCAAAGACCCAGAGCCGTGCACCAGGACGGGGGTGCAGAATCCTGCCGCCTCTGCTCCACTGCTGCCCAGAGACACCGCTCTCCCCATGCAGTCGTGCGCCGCCCGCACACTCCTCCCCCGCAGGACTGTAATTAATTGGAGAAATGTTTATTTTTTGATACCCCGGTGGGGGCAGCAGCAAAGACAGTGGCGGGGGGAGGGCTGGGGGACAGCATTTCCCCCCTTGCCGCTAGCATGCGGGCTCCCAGCAAATCGTGGTACTGCCCTTCAGGCGCCCGCCATGCTGGCCTGGAGCTCTTACCAAAAAGAGAAGTGGTTCAAAAGCCAGAGAAGTCTGGCCCCCTTTCCCACAATGCCTTTCACCCGTCGCCTCACCCCTCTTCCCACAATGCCTTTCACCCAGCCCCCTGCAGGCACCGATTTGCCCTTTTCCCCCGGGGGCAGGCTACTTGGGGCTGGGCCTGCTGTGCTGGGGGCAGCCCCCACAGGGTGGGGCAGCAGCAGGGAGCTGGGAACGCCGGGCCCCACCTTTCTGCGGGTGCCCCCTATTGGGCATTAATATGGGGGCAGGGCTGTTCGCAGCTTCTCCCCTGGCCAGCTGTAGCATGCACGCTCCCAGGCTGAGCCCCTGCCCTGGGTGGGGGGGGCTCAGGCCCCACCGCCCCTCCCCAGCTCTGCTCCCGCTGGGGGAATGGGGAGGGGTGCTGCGGCTGGGCTGTGAGCTCCCCCTCCTCTGGCCTGGAGCACTTGGCTGACAGGCTCCCTCCCCCTCGGTCTGACCGTAGCGACCCCCCAGCCTTTGAATGGGCGCCCAGCTGGTCCGTGCTAGAGACCTAACGGGGCGGTCTGAGCTCAGGGCCTGGCTGTGGTTGGGGGGCTCTTGGCTGCAACCTCCCCTCCCCCCACTGCCTGTCCCTTACTTGGATGGAGGATGCAGATAGATGCATTCCCACTGGCCCATGTGCTTCTCCACTGGGGGTGATAAATACTGTCTCCCCCGGGCCAGGACGGGCGGGGGTGTCAGGCTGGAGGGTCTGAGGCCTTTTCCCCAGAGGGGCTCTGCGGTGAGCTGAGCCTGTCACAGGCACAATAAAAGAATGTTTTTAACCTGCACTGCAGCTTTGGTGTTCTTGCCCCTGGGCGCCAGGACTGACTCCCCCCCATCCCTGCACCAGGCTGCCCTTGCCTCGCATTGGGTACAGCTGGACCCACGGGGGCGGCTGCTGGGTATCAGGGAGCCCTGAGCGCTCAGCTAGGGCCCTTCTCTCAACCAGCTCTTCCCCCCCTTCCACTGTAGCTGGCTGCATCCTGTGGTCCCCTTGGGCAGGACAGGGTCTCCCTGGGACTGGCTGAGGGCGGTGGGTGGACCCCCCTGCTCTGTTCCCAGCAGCAGTGTGGGCTGTGGGTGTATCTTGAGCAGTGGAAGGGGCCTAGTGGGGAGGGGCAGGACTCCTGTATCTAGTGAGTCAATGTCCAGTGTGACGCTAGTGACACCTTCCCCCCATGCTGTGAGCTTGGCTCTGGCTCCCCTCTGCCCCAGCAGGGGCACAGGATGCCTTGCCCACAAGACTGAGGTGGTTTTGGGGGATTCCCTGCAGACAGTCCCCAGTGAAACTTGAGTCCCCTTCCTATGTCTGTCCTGGCTGAGCCCAGAACTGCCCCCTCTGCCCCGGTTTCTGGGTATGCATTGGCTGGGGGAAGGTCACTGCCTTGGCGCATTGGGGGCACAGGTACTTGAAGAATAGGCAGGGGGAAAGCACCAGTTGTGTGATGCTAGGGGAGAGGGTCTAACATCCCCTCCAATCAGGGCTGGCCCTGGCTTAGCAGAGACCCCTGGCTTTATATTACCCAGCCCCCAACATGGGCTACAGGATTCCTCATTCTTTCCCCCCACTGGTTGCATTCACACACACACCCTCCCGCCGCTTCATCCATCAAAGCATATTTGTGATGCTAAAAAATGTACTCCTTGCCCCTAGGGCTGCTCCTCCCCTCGCCCCCACCCCCAGCCTGTATATATCTGTACTGATACCTCAGTTTTGTGAGTGGGTTTTTTTGTTTGTTTTATTCTGATCAGAAAATGCCTTTTTTTTTTAAATAAAAGCAACAAAAATCTGCTCTGGCCCCGACGCCGCCCCCTGCTGGTGGGTCAGGGAATGGGCTCTGTGTGGCCCCCTTCTGGGGGGAGGGAATGGGTCCTGCCATTGCCCCCTCCTGGAGGGCCGTGGCCCAGCTGGGGCCCTGGAGCGGAGCTGTGATTCAATGTAGTTTTCCAGGTTCTAGATTAAAACTTTCCAGAAAGAGCCACTGCAGCCTCCTGTTTTGTATTCCTCTGCCCATGGCCCGTCCTTGATCTCATGGCAGCCCCCTCCCAATGCTTGAGGAACAACAACTGGGCCCTCTGGACACTCCCCCAGAGGCAACCATGCAGCAGCAGGTGAGGGAATCCCTGCATGAACAGCCCCCTTCCCCAGCAGCAAGGGAGCTGGTTTGGCCAGAGCTTAGGCTGGGAGGTGCTGTAGAAATACTGTTTATAGGTGGAACCTGGGCCTCTTTCATGCCCATCCTGGGTTCATTAGCCCTGCTTTTTGTTCTGGAGCCAAACACCTGTGGGGTTGGGCCCCAGTTCTGCCCCTCCTCCAGGCCCCTTTACAGTCAGCAGTAGAGGTGCAGGAGCTGCAAGGTCCCTGGTGCTGCAGCCTCAGACCAGCCCAAGGGGTGGGGGGGGCTAGCTGGCTCCCCTAGAGAAGTGCTGGGCCACCTGTGGCCCATTGAGGTTCTGTGTGGCCCTTGAGACGTTTTGTTACCGTTTGCCCACACATGGGGTTGCCAGATTCTGCTGGTTTGCGGCCACGTGGGGCAGTGTTACTGAAGTGACGTGCGTAGAACAAGGGCAAGTGAAGTGAGGTGCCTGCTGATTGCAGACAAGAGCGTGAGAGCCCCGCGCTCCCTCGGCAGCTCATCAGAGCACTGCCACAGTTCCAGCGACAGCCCGTCAGCAAAACTGCCCTAGCCCAGGAGACCGTCTGGGATATGACAGGCCTGCGGCCACTGAGGAGGACCACTCCTGTGCCCCCCTCATTCGCCTAGGTTGCTTGGCTGCCCTAGAGCCACAAGGCTCCCCTTCTGCCATGTTCTATCACTGGCAGGGCCCTCGTCCCAGGCTTGAGAGGCTAGATGTATAGGTCCAGCCCAGCTCCAGGGCTGTTGGCCCCTTAGACTGTCCCTGTCCAAGTGAATGTTTCTTTCTCAGCCCTAGCTGCTGGTGGGTCCCCATCCTGTCCTTGGCCCCACCTGCAGGCAGCTGGGCAGTGCAAGGGCTCCAGGCTCCTCTGGCTGGAAGTGCCCAACCTTCTCCTTCAAGCACCAGCCACTCCAATGCCGCAGCCCACTGGCAAAGTGGGTGAGGCAATAGCTCTTATTGGTCCAGCTTCTGTGGGGATGGGGGCTGCCAGCCAGTTACTTGAAGCTCCAGACCCAGAGAAAAGCAGCTCTGGGGCTTGCCTCTGCCCCCAGAGCAAAGCTGGTCCAGTAGAGAGACTGCAGTTAATCTACAAATGTAACCCTGTTACGCTGGGACTGACTGGTTAGTGCACTACAAAGCCAATTTCCCTGGCCTTTACAGCCACATTTTCACATCAGAAGCTACCAATGGGATATATCCAGCCCACTTAGCCTCATTAACACTGGTCCCATAACTAACAGGTACTGCTTTCTGTTAGAGATCTTGGTTTCTGTAATTTCTACTCCCATCTCATCGGATGAAGTAGGTTTTACCCACAAAAGCTCATGATACTCGCCTGCCTTGTCTCTGCTAGCTTGGCTTGGGCCCGGCTATGCTGCATCCAGCCGGGAGGGTCCAGAGCCAGTGCTCCCAGGGCCCAGAGGTGCTGGCTGCTACTCCCAGAGGTTTGCCTAAGTCCTCGCAGAAGCTATCCTATCAGTGTCTGCCTTGGCCAGGCTTGGGGAGCAGACATTGGCCCAGGGCACTGAGAGAAAGTGGGTTGTGGGCTTAGCCTGGTGTGCCCATTGACCAAGTACTTGCCCTTCCTGCCCCAGGCAGTGGGAGAGGGAGGCTCAAGGGTATGCATGGCACCCCTGCCGTGCAGGAGTTGGGGCAGTTGATGTTTGGGAGGCTGGCTGGCAGCACCAGTGATCTGGGGCCTGGGAGGGTGGCTGAGGGAGGTGGAGGGCTGGGAGTAGCAGGGTGTGGGGGTGGCATGAGAAGATGTCCTGCGGGTGAGGGCAGAGGGGTGGGAGAGCTGCACAGCGACGACTCGGGACATAGTAAAATACTTTTATTCAAAATGCAACATGAACATAACTCCACCCCCTGTAGCATCTACTTCCCCACCACCACCCCAGGGCCACAAGCCCTGTCTACAAATGCCCCGTTGCCCACACACCAGCAGAGCAGCATGCACCCAACGCGGGAGGGAGGGATGTGCCGTGGCTGTGCAGGTCCTGCCAAGCTGCTGTCCTCTAGCCTGACCCCTCCAGTTCTGTGCTTCTTCCAAGGCCTCTTCAATGCTGCCCCCTCAACGGTCCTGCTCGTGCCTCACCCGGGGTTCTTACTGGTTGCCCCCCACCTGGACCCCGGCACTCAGGTCCTCCCTGGGAGCCAGCGCTGCCGCCCCAGGTGAGGGAGCTGGGCCCCATTTGAGGGGGGGCTTTTGTGCTACTCCTGCCCCACAACATATTATCTCCCTAGCAACTGCTCGGCCAGTCTGGGGCCAGTCTCAGCTCCCCGCCCCCAGCACAAGACCATTCCTCCCAGGAGTCAGTACAGCCCCAGGGAGGAGCGTCCCCACCCCAGCTCCCAGGTTGAGGAGGGTCCCTGCTGTGCACTGGGCATGGCTCACCAGCAGGCGTGTGCCACCCTACATGTCCCTCTACAAGTAAAGAACCCCCTACCCCAAGCTCCCCACAGCTGGCATTGGTACCCACTCCCCTTCCTGGACCCCATCCAGAGCCCACATGGGCCACGGTGTGGGGGCTTCTGCTCCCCAGGGGGGTTGGGCTCAGCTAATGCACATCTGTCAGTCTCTCCCCTCCCTGGAGGAGGGAGGGTTTCCAATCCCAGCTGGTGGAGTGAGTCCTAGAGACACCACCCAGTGTATCGCTATGGGGCAGCCAGAACCCCTGAGCCCTCAGCCAAGCAGGATCCAGGGCACTAAAGAAGGGGGCTTCAGCTATCCTCTTCCCCCCTCGCCTCAGAGGGAACTGGAGGAGGAGGAGGAGGAAGGTGGCTCCAGGGTCGCACCCACCAATGAGGAAGGGAGCTGGGGCCCCCGTCCGGGGTGGCGGGAGGCAGCAGGCCGGATGAGTGGCGGAGGGGGCTGGTTGGGAGATAGTCTAGGCTGCAGGAAGCGTCCCTGCTGCAGGGGAGGTGGCTGGCGGTGCAGCGTGGGCGCGGTGGGCAACGAGGGCCGCAGCAAGGGGGGAGGCTGCGACAGTGTGGTGGGTGGCAGCCGGGGGGAGGCGGAGGGTGGAACCACTGTGGTGGATGCAGGGGCCTGCGGCTGCTGCTGGGCAGAGCGGGACACGGCTGTGATCTGCACCTGCAAGGAGAGACCAGAGTGAGTGGGAGCCGTGTGGGACGGATGCCAGGCACGGTGGATGGGCCTTGTCTGAGTCGTGCAGGGCCTATGGCAGGGCAGGGGGCCACAGATCAGACTGTGTGAAGGGCAGGGGGCCATGAGGCAGACCGAGGGAAGCGGCAGAGCTGGGGCTGCGTGTTGGATTGAGGGACGTGAGCTGGGCTAGGGGCAGCAAGGGGGTCTGTGGGTGCAGGTTGGGGCCCTCCCTTTCCTCACCTCATCGTCCTCCTCGCTGCTGGCCAGTGAGACACTGGAGCTCTTGGTGTCGTGGGGGGGGGAGCGGGCCCCTGGAGACTCCCCCTGCTCAGCTTCCCACTCCTGCAGCACTTCCTCCAGGTTGAAGCGGCGCCGGTAGCTGACAAAGAAGGTTTTCACCTGGGCCAGCGTCTTGTTACCAATCACCCCGGCGACAGCTTGGAAATCTTTACCGTACCTGCGGATGGCTGGGGAGAGGGCAGAGGATCAGCTACCCAGGGGAAGCACCAGCATGCTGGAGGGAGTGGGCCCTCTGGGGGGGAGACGGGGCACCAGGTACATCCCTAGGCTGGGGTCACTTAGATACCCAGGGCACAGCCACAATGGGAGGGGCCCTAAGCCCCCAACCCTCACTCCCTGGACATCCCCCCCACTCCCACGTTCCCAGCTCACCCTGCACAGCCAGCAGCTGCTCATCCGTTGTCCAGCGCGAGTTGAATTTGCCGTTTCCCTGGCGGGAGAGGGGAGAGCGTTGGGCCGGGACTCAGACCTGCCTTCTCCCACTGCCCTTCCCCTTGGGGCTGGTCCCCCCACTCACTCCTCCATGGGTATCATACTAGGCTTGTACTTCCTCTCCCCAAACCCTGTGCCCATGAGAGCTAGGCCCAGCACCTCCCTTCCCCCAACAGGGCCTGGTTCCTTCTCCCCTGCCTGGGGGTTTGTGTCTGTGCTCCCATCTCACCTCTGGAGGCCGCAGCTTGTCAATTCCACCTTCCAGGGCCTGCTTCATGCTACTGTTGATCTGCTTGATGCACTGGACCTGGGCGGGTGGGACAAAGGGGTCTATTAATGAGAGCTGGAGGCAAAGGTGGCTCCAGGCTTCTCTGGCACTCGAGGGGGATGAGCTGCGGTTGGAGGTGATGCAGCACCAGGGTGCCCGTGTCAGGGCTGGGAGACTGGCAGGGGTGAGGGGGTGGGAGTTACCTGGCGTTTGAGGGAGATGAGCTGCGAGTCAAGGTGGCGCAGTGCCAGGGTGCCCACATCAGGGCTGGCCGAGATGCCAGCGATGTCATCCTGACTCAGGTACATGCCCTTGGGGGGGCGCCGACGTGAGCGCAGTGGGTGGTGCCGATACTGTGACAGCTGCACCTCCTTCCTCACAGGCCCCGAGCCCGATCCTGGACCCGGCGTAGCTTGGCTGGCCAAGGCAGGGAATGGAGCTAGTCTGATACAGCACCCCTAGAAAGCCTTGCTGCAGAACATAGCTATGGGCTGGCTCCTCCCACCATACTCCTGCAGCACAGCTTCCCCCACCCCACTCCATGTGCCCTGCACTCTGCCACCCATCAAGGCAGAGCCCCAGCACGTGGGCGATGTGCCCAACGTGCCATTCAGCACCCACCTGCCTATGAGCCATCCCACCCCCAACCCCTCACCTCCTTCTTGGAGTCCATGGCATCAAACTCCCCCTCGCTGGCAGCCCGTCCCTCCTCCATCTCGTCGTTACTGGGGGGAGCATGGCATGAGTTAGAGGGGATGGTACCGAGACCCCCAGCCTGCCCCACAACCACACCCCCTTGCCCCTGCCCTCCACCCCCTCCATGACCATCCAACCTGCCTCCCCTTCCCTCATCCAGAACCTGCGTCAACACATGTGCCCTGGGATCAGTGCAGCCCTACACCTCCCCCCTCCAACCCTACCTGTCATCCCGCTCCTTCTTGCTGAGCAGCCGGCGCGCTTGCCGGTCCATGACACTCGTACGGCTCCTTGTCTTCTTCCAGGAGTAGTAATACTTCACCAAGCTGGGGATCAGCTTGTCAGGCAGCTGAGGCAGATAGGGGAGGGGATCAGCTGCCTGGAGGTGATGGGGGGGTTGACATGCTTGGTAGGAGGGTGAGAGGGGGAAATACAATATCTGGGAATGGAGGGGTGAGGTGCTTGGGGAGACTGAATAGTGCAAGGAGGGCAGGGATGATAGGAAGGGGAAGGAGGAGAGGAAACACTTGTTGAGGAGCAAGAGAGACTCAAGGGAGGAGTGGGATGCTGGGTGGGCAGGGGTTGGAGGAGATGCCAGGTGCAGTGAGACTGGAAGGAGGGATGGATGCTGAGGGGCTGAGGTGATGAAAGATGGGGCAGAAGGGTCAGTATCCCAAGGGCAGAGCATCATCCTGGGGCTTCTGTGTTGGAGACTGGGGAAGGATGGGATGTTGGGGTGGGGTGAAGAGATGCTGGGGGGTGGAGATTGGAGGGAGGGATCAGATGCCAGGTGGGTGGGGGGGGAGAGCCTGGCGGGAGGAGTGTGGGGGGGCAGAGGTGGGAGAAGATGCCTGCATGGGGAAAAAGTAGATGGGGAGAGGAAGGAGAGGCCTGCCCAGGACCCCCATGGGAAGGAAGGTGGCCCCTCAGCTATGGAGAGCTATGGAAGTCCCTGCCTCCATACCAGGCCCCTATGGAGTGAGGTGGCACCATCACAAAGGTAGGGGGTTGGCACAGGTGGAGATGGGGACATGGTGGCATATACCATCTGCTGGGGATGTGTGGTGTGCAGTCATTGGCACATACCATCTACTGGCTGCAGAGGGAGAGACTGTGGCAAATGCCATTTGGTCACTATGGAGGAAGAGGAGGGAGCCCTATACTATTAGCTGCAGCAGGGCGGGTGGCACCATCACAAAGGTAGGGGGTTGGCACAGGTGGAGATGGGGACATGGTGGCATATACCATCTGCTGGGGATGTGTGGTGTGCAGTCATTGGCACATACCATCTACTGGCTGCAGAGGGAGAGACTGTGGCAAATGCCATTTGGTCACTATGGAGGAAGAGGAGGGAGCCCTATACTATTAGCTGCAGCAGGGCGGTGGGGCACATCCCATCCACTGGCTACGGCAGCAGGGCTTGGCACAAGCTCTCTTTAGTAGCTGCCAGGTGGTAGTTGGTGGCACGTACCATTTTTGCTCAGTAGGGGTACATGGAACATATTATGTGATGTTGGGGGAGCAGTTGTAGCATATGCCAACTCTTAGCTGCAGGAGAGATGGCAGGTACCATCTGCTGGCGGGGGGAGGGAACAGGCATATCAGATACCATCTGCTGGTTGTGCAGGTGGGGATGGCAGGGACCAATTGCTGGGGAAGCAGGGAGGCAGGTGCCATGTGCCTGCTGCAAGGAGACTGTAAGTATCGTGTGCTGGTTATGTGGGGAGAAGGATGCGCTGGAATGTACCATCTCCTTATTTATAAGGGGTGAGTTGCAGGTTCTATCTGCTGGCTGGGGGGCATGATAGGCACGTACCATCTGCTGGATGCGCGCGAAGCTCTTGCCATGGAAGCTGAAGGCCTGCTCAAATAGCACTTTGTCCTCCACTGTCCACTCGTCTGGAAAGGGTGTGAAGTTGGCCAGGTCAGCCAGAGACTTCTCCACGTCATGTTTGTGCCACAGCAGCATCCCCAGGGCCTGGGACGAGATGGGGGTGAGAGGGGCAGCAGCATCCGCAGGATGGGGAGGGAAGAGGGGGATCCCCAGGATGAAAAGAGGGAGGACTGGCATGTTCTTGGGGTAGGGTGGGGGAAATGTGTTCTTGGGGTTGGGGAAGATGGGGAGATGGAGTGGGAGGGGTCAATGTCCTCAGCCCAATGGAGGGCAGGAGAGATGGGGGCAGAAGGGTCAGTATCCCAAGGGCAGAGCATCATCCTGGGGCTTCTGTGTTGGAGAGTCAGATCAAGCTCCCCAGGGCATGGTGAGGTAAGATGGGGTAGCATCCCTGGGACCTGGTAGACACAGGAATCAAAAGCCCCCAACTTTGGGGGCTTTATCCCCACATAACTAATCCATTCAGTGCAGGGGCGGGGAATGTCCCTACCTGCTCAATGTTGTAGCCATGCTTGTCTTTGGCCATTGCAATGTATTTGTCCACTGGGGAGAGAGAAGAAACAAATCATCAGGACAACTCCTTCCTATAGGACCCTCCCCTCCACACCAACTTAGGTATCACATCCACTGTGCAGACCATCCTGAGACAGCACAACACATGCATGGCAGGGAGTATCTGATGCCAGGTGTGTGCAGGGTGGGGGTTGGTGGGATATTGAATGTGGGGGAAGGCATCTAACACCGGATCTGTGTATGGGAAGGATCTGATACTGGTCATATGTACATAGCTGTGCTTGATGGGGGTAGGTGCAGATGGGAGCATGCCTGATGAGGTAGTGTTCATGCAGGGGGGTGTTTGCTGGGGGGGGAGCATGCACATCAAAGAGTGTCTAATACAGTGGGGTGTGCACGCATGGGATGAGTCTGATATGGATCTCTGCATGTGGGGCAGATGTGTGATACAGAAGGGATACGAGGAGGGGTCTGATGCAGTGGGGCTGAATATTTGTCTCTGTGTCGGGATCGGATATCAGCAAGTGTGGGACCCATCCAGGCCTCCCTCCCCTGCCCCAATGGCTGTGTGGGAGCAACAAGCCAGACATTCCACCTAAGTTCACCCTCCTCCTGCACCAGTGCAGTGCACAGCGTGACCCCCAGCCTAGGCTCTTCCCTGTTCCATTTCTCTGATCCCAGCCTTGCCATCTCCTGCAGGATAGGGAAGCAGGGTTTGGGGCAGTGAATATTCATAGACGAAGGAGAGCTGCTGTGAGTTGACGGGACTCCATGGCCACCTCACCCAGGTCCTAAATCTCACCAGAACAAGTTCTGAAGGGGGAAGGAAGCATGCCTGATGGGGGCGGGGTGGCTGGCAGCAAATGTGGGTGCTCATCTAGAGCATCTATGTGGGTAAGGGAAGAGGCCAGGGGAGGGGTAAACATGCTGGGCAGGGTGGAGGGCTTGCTGGGGTA